ATGGCTGCTGTCCATTTTGGCACTTGCTGCGCTGAATAGAAGTCCTGCCGGGTGTGCCAGCCTTTTATGAGACGCTTACCAGACCGTCTATAAACATTTCTGGTTGGGGACTCGGATTGAATCTGGCTGTGATCGTCGTCCTGACTGCGACGTTAAAGAATTCCTGAAGAGATGGGGGCGCTCTATAAATTCCTCCTGATCAGCCAGATCAACCGGGTGTAAGTCGTTCCGTACGAGGGTAAATAAGAGTGGACTGGCTGGCTTGCTCGGCTACAACTTGGGCAGAGGGGTGGGCCGAAACACACACGAAGACATTGCCTGCCCAATGATGCTGTTCGTTATGTTGGATTGAGGGGAGGGTAGGTTCTAATTGGTTCTCAACTGAATACACAACCATACCCACTCATCATACATCTGCAACGTTGTCTTTTTGTACTCTTGATTAGTTGGTGGACAGACTGCTAACACCTCACAGACAGATTAGATTAGGACTGTTGTATACTACCATAGCCAGTTCTGTCTAATGCTGCTGTAAGAGAACCAATCAGGATACATCTCGACTATGTCAACAATCTGTTGTGAATGTTGTAGATTGCCACTTGATCGGTACAGTAGGGGACCTGCCGGACACAACTATTTTTCGAAAATTAGGTGCCGGTCAGACACATGCTGTGGTAGGACTCCACTAGGGGGTTCTAGTGCAGATAATGTTTGCCTAATTCATGAATGGGTCAGACATCGATGAGGAGGCAGTTGACGATGCAAGACTAACACGTTCGAGATCACGTAGGATCCCGCATGTGTTCCAGGCCCTACAACCCGAAGACGAAAGACGCATTCGTGTCGAACGCAGAGTCCATGCTCTCGCAGCATCGAGAGAGGCAGCAAACGTTGCAGCTAGAGAACAGGCTGCAGCAGCAGCCAGGGCAGCAGCCATGTCTTCTGCAGCAGCATCCTCTGCTACATCTTCTGCTGTGTCCTCGTCTGGACCGCAGTTGGGAATGCCAACAGGGTCCACAGGTACTTCCAGTTCAGTAGGATCTCGTCAGTCTACAAGTCACATGGCGGGCTCGCAGTTCAGCCCGTTGACTCCTCGCGAAAGGGAGCTCTGGGAGCTCCAACAGGTCGAAAGGATCCGTGAACAGTTAGAGAGGGACCTAAAGAAAGCAACCGATAGAGAAAGAGAGATTAAAAATAGAACAGCCAGGCTTGATACTTTAGAGGTTGACAAAGTTGAGTTAGAGGGCTTGGATGAGTCAGCATTGTCTGACCAAATGAAAATACTGAAGCACAATATGTTGTCGCTGCATGCGCACGTGGACAGCAGATTGGACTTCATGCAGAGCACTCTTGACCAGATCCTGGATGTTCTTACAAGGTCAGGATTTAGGCCACCAGCACAGTCGCCGTTGCCGTTAACGGCGATGTCAGGCCCCTTTCCAGTTCAAGCTGGCACACAACCAAGTGGCACGTCTGCAGCAGCCGCACAGACTGTTGCGTCTTCTTCCTCGGGTCCAGCGGTGGTTGCTACACCACAGCAACAACCTGTTCCTCAACAGGGACAGCCGCAAGGTCAATGGTTCCCTAAGACCCCAATGAAACCGCCTCTTGCCTTCTCAGGCGAGAAAAAGGACGAAGAACTCAACACTTGGTTGAGAACAGTCCCGGTTTGGGTGAAGGCAAAGAGGACCTTGCTGGAGGACGAAGTGGTTACTGTTGCATCTTACCTCGAAGGTAAGGCAGCCAAATGGCTAGATGGTGTAGTGGTAAAGGCCGGGTACGGACAACGCATGGCGGACTGGGCTAAGACTCTTACGTTAGACCAGTTTAATGGAGATGGTAGAAGCTCGATGGCATAATCCACAGGAGGCACAAAGCCACTGATGCGATCAACAGACTAGACCAACGAAAGTTCAAGTCGGTCAGAGAGTTTACGACTACCGTAGAGAGACTGATCCTCGTTCCTGGCATCAACTACAGTGACCATTTCCTGTTGACTACGTTTGTTAGATGTCTTCCAGAGAACACCAGGAACTTGCTGGCCAGCGAGGCACGCCTCGAGTACCATTCGTTTGAGACGTTGTTTAGGAAAGCCTTAGATTTAGAGGCCACTCTAGGCAATGCTCAACCCTCTCAGAATGACACGAAGAAGAAGAAGAGTCCGCAGGAGTGGAAGAAAAAAAGGGGATAAGTTGATGATGGTTGAGTCCGATGGGACTCAAACGGAGATCGATGAGCTCACTGACCTGCTGGACAGTTCAGAGTACGACGGCGAGGAGACCGTTGAGGGTAGCACCCTCGCCGCAGTAGTTAAGGCTAATGCTGGTGGCCGAGTGAAGGGCCAACCAAAGAGTCAAGGGAAGGCCGCCTCCAATCAGACCAAAGTGGCTGATTGGGTCAAGGCAGGTCTTGATCAAGACGTGTGGCGGGACCGCCGAGTGCGTGGCGCTTGTATAAATCGTGGTGAATACGGACACACCCAGTACAAGTGCCAAAACGCAAAGGTCACGCAGAAGATACCTCCTAAGATGGGGGCATCTTCTTCCCAGGCTTCTAGCTCGGGAAACATGTGAGGCCGGTGGAAGTTTTAGCTGCTTCGACTCAAGTTGAAGTGGGTCTGATACCCTCCCCACTTCATGAGCAGGCCAAAGCTAATGACTCTTTAGTCACCCCGCAGACTCATCTAGACCAAACTATGCTCTGTACGTTAGATGTGTCTGAAGCCTTAGAAGATCTGGAAAGCGAGTGGTCAAACAAGGACCCTCGTGAATCTTGGGTGGCGCTAAGGAAAGGTCCTAGAGGGGAACATTTCGTGGTGGAAGTCGATGTAGGAGACCGCAAATGTGGTGCCTTCATAGACATAGGCTCCACGCAGAATTACATAAGTCGCAACTGTTTGGAAAGGCTGCACCTACAGGACCGGGTACGGCACCTTAGTAGACCTGTAGCATCTACTTTGGCCAACAAGGAGCGCATGACAGTCACAAACTATATCAAGGACGTAGTCTGTGTACCTTCTCCTATGGAGGAGAAGAACTTAATCATAAGATTTCGTTCTTGGTTAGCGACGACTTACCATTTGACATGTTGTTAGGCATGTACTACCTCGACGTTTCTAAGCCCCAGTTTGACTGGGATAAGAAGGTGCTCAAACATAAGTTGCCCGATGGCCGACCTGTCAAATTGACTAAGTTCAAGGCCAGTAGCATTATAGATACCTATGGCTGCTTGCGTGCATCAGCGTTCTACAATTATTATAAGCAAAACCAAGAGGAGGGTATGTACCTAGTGTATGTCTCTGAGAAAGGGGAGGCCGTTAAAACTCCCCCAGAGACAGAACACATCGTTGCTAAGTTCCCTCATCTGTTCGAAGAGCCCACAGGAGTTGTTGAAAGGGAAGTTGTCCACGCTATAGAAATCATTCCAGGGAGTAAGACCCCAAAGGAAGGATCTATAGGATGGCTCCCGCCGAGTTAGATGAACTTCGGTGACAGCTAAAGGAGCTGACAAAGAAGGGATGGATCCGGCCTAGTACTTCCCCTTATGGATCTCCCGTGTTATTCGTACCGAAGAAGGGGGGTACATTTTGGATGTGCATTGACTATAGAGGCCTCACAGAAAGTGAGTTTGTAATGGTGGACGGGCTTCTCTATCTTGATAAGGCATAAAATAAAAAGGTTAGTAGTTCCATCTAGTGAACGTTTGCGTAGTTTGTTTCTAGGAGAATGCCATGACGCAACCGGACACTTTGGCTACAAGAAGACAAGTGTTAATCTAGTACAGCGATTTTGGTGGCCTGGAATGCTAGATGACGCCAAAAAGTACATAGAGACCTGTCAGGTCTGTCAGCGGGACAACCGCGAACTCAAGCACCGCTTGGGTTGTTAAAGCCTTTACCTATTCCCACTGGTCCAGGACCGAGTGTCTCCATGGATTTCATGGACACCCTAGTGACCAGCAAGAGTGGCAAGAGGCACATATTCGTCATCATCGATCGATTCACCAAGTACGCTAGACTAGTTGCAATGCCGGAGACCGCAAGGACTGACCATGTCATCAAGTTGTTCAAGGACAACCGGTGCGTGACTTTGGTTTACCAAAGACCATCGTTAGTGACAGAGATGACCGCTTCACAAGTGAGCTATGGAAGAAGACTGTTAAACAGATGGGCAGTCAACTTCAAATGACTTCAGGGAATCATCCCGAAGCCAACGGACAAGCCGAACAAATGAACAGAGTTGTACAACACTTGTTGAGGCATTACATCAAGCCCAACAAGGATGACTGGGATGAGCAGTTGCCTCTCATCGCCAGCCTGTACAACAATGTTGTACACAGCGGTACCGGCGTTAGTCCTAATCAGCTGCACTTGGGATGGAAGCCTAGATCAACCCTAGACTTCCTCCTACCCGAAAACCGACCCGCTGCAACTCCAGGCACACTCGAGTATGGTGTGCAGTATGAGAAGTTACTGCAAGAAGTTGTCGAGCATATGAAGAAAGCTCAGCAAGCAATGATTGCTTCTGAGAATCAACATCGTAGACAGTCCTCATTTCAGGTAGGGGAATGTGTCTGGGTCAAGGCTAGCGAGCTAGGACAGGAATCCGGGATCTCTCGTAAACTAATGCCTCAGTATTTTGGTCCTTGGGAAGTCCTGGATATAATGGGGGATGAGATGGATGGTCCCACATATGTCATCGGTGTCCCTGGACACCTACGCACTTACCCTGTCTTTCATGCCTCAAAGCTTGCACCTTTCGCTGAGACGGATCAATTCCCTTCAAGGAGATCGATGCTGCCCCCAACCATGGATGGTCAAGTAGACATCGACAACATTGTGGATCACAGGGACATGCCTGTTCCAAAGTCGCTGGGCCGTGGAAGACCTCCCAAACCCAAGAGAGAGTACCGCGTCCGATTCAGGCATCATACGGATCCAAAAGAAGATCGTTGGTTCACCAGGGAGGAACTGATTGACACAGCTCCTCAGGTGGTGGCAGAATATGAGAGGAAGCTAAAAAGGAAGGCACCTGCGAAGTAAGCATCTCAGCGGACTTTCGAAGCTAAGGGGGATGGAATGTGAGGATTGAGCCCTCAAGAAGGGGCCTTGCCATGATGTACATGTTCTGGGCTAAGGCCCCAGCAAGCCTCGTGCCCGCCCTAAGTGAAGGTGGGCCAACAAATCAACAAGAGCCCTTTGTGCGAACATTTCACGAAGTGGGGTCCATACAGTTGCAGCACGCCAGTTGGTTGGAGTGCACCGAGTCTCCGATCTCTGCAAATGCGAAAATCCCAGGGCCTTTGAGTTGGTTAGGCCCTGGGCACTTGAACGAGAGGCCGACAATGCATGCTGGGTATAGAGGCCGAAAATGCCAATGGGAAATCGGCCCACTACTTGAATCTGGCCGCAGGCCTTGATGAAAGAGGCGCAACTGCATCCTGGGCCTCAACTGCATCGGGCCTGCGTTCAGGCACTAAGGCCCGGACGCAGGCTGAAGGGAGGCCGCCCACACGCAACACTGGCATATAGGCAAGCAGGGCGAGTGGGCAGGGATCTTGGCCAGTGCGGGCAATGCCGGCATGCTGCGCAATTGCGAGCAGCTGCGCTGCACTAGGCTGAGGTGAAGGGCACGCAGGCGCTAGGTGGTAGGGCGCTGCCTGTGCACAGGACGTTGGCGGCCATAGCCAGGCTGCCTGTGGGTGCTGAGGGAGGTGAGGGGCGAAGGTGGTTCTTCGGAGGTGAAGGGCGCTGTGTGGGATAACAAGGGAGAGTGTGGGTGAAGGGGATACGTACCTGGTGGAGGTGGAGGTCGGCATTGGTGTTGACATCATCACTCGCTGGTAGTCAAGTTGTCTGGTTGCTTTCATTGCTGTAGTTGTAGCCTTAGTCTGTAGAGTAGATAGGGCGCCTGGCGCCATTCACAAGAGAGAGCTACATTGGGTTATGCTGTTGGTGTTGCCCTGTTGGGCTTGGACATTGACTCACGATTCTTCTGTATCATTCTCAAATGGATGGTTACTCGGTTCCATTGTGCTATCTGCTCTGGCTTTGACTACTTGGACTTCAGTGTGATTTTGCATTCTGGATTTCTGTGCTTCGTCCATATTCATGTTCCTTGCATAAACCGAGTAAGAAGGGAGTGGCAGCGCCTGAGGTTAGCGCAATTTTAAGCGCTAATTTTCAGCGCTAATTTTTTCGTGACATTCGGTCCCCAGCCTCCCGCGCCTGCACGGGCGCCAACCTGGTGAAGCACCCGAATTCGGAATCGAGAGCTTCGAGCAGCGACAACTTCCGCATCGAACCCGAATCCGGAAACGACAGCAACTCATCATCAACAATCATAGTCGCCCAGCCATAGCCACACACACCGAAAAAGAGCGCCGACGCGCGCGCGCCAAGTGCGTGCGCGCGCGTCTAGGCCTGCAACACGTTTCCACCAAGTGGTTTGAAGGACGAAGCGTGCTAGATCTCAGACCAAGGCGAGGAGATTCATGGGCGAGCAGAGGAAGCCGGAGGCAACCTAGTAACTACACGACACTATCGTTCTCGTCGGACCTCTGACTCCCTCCACAACAACAAGGTGCCCCACAACAGGAAAGAAGAATGAATGACGGGCAAGCAACGTTAACAGTACGCTGCGCCACAATAGCCCTGCGCTACCAGAATACGACAAAGTGAGAGCTGATCAACACCAACCCCCCCCCCTCCAAAACCCCCTTTTTTACCCTCCTCCACCTTCCCGATTCGCCTTACCACTGACATTCCAAGCGTGCCATTAGCCCAGGATCCAGCAATCATATCCCTGCCCCTCTCCGAACTTGCCCCTCCTTACTCCCCGGATCAACTGTAGCTTCCGCCTCACACTACTCATCCCTACCTCGTAACCAAACAACATCTGACCCTACCCAATTTCGATACTGTCTGGGCCCCATCCCCACCCCGAACTCAACCCCATCCAGACCTCCATTCCCACCCCAACTCATTTCTGACACCGATCCCGCCCCTACATCGGCCCCAACCCGGTCGACTTCACTCCACATCTCTCTCAACCCTTCTAAAGTTCTTCTCACCACATTTCACCTTCTTCTCTCCCGCCCCCCACTCTCCCCCATATTCACACGATCGATCCACCGCGAGCATAACCCGGATTCGATCCCAACCCAACTAGACCCTATCCCGATCCCACCACGATCCCGTCGCCGCTCCCGTTCCTGCTCACATCCCGATCTTGATCTCAACCACGCTATCCCAACCCCGTCTTGATCTTAGCCTACTCCCAACACGATACCACTCCACTCCAGATCCCCCCACTTTGCCTCGCGCCCCCGCCTCAACCAGGTTCAGTCCGCCCGCCTCATCCACGCCACCTCATACCATCCCCCCCTCCCTTTTTTCCACCATCCCTCCCCACTCAGTCTACGGAACCCCCCACAGCCTCTCCGATCATATCCTGAGCTTGTCCCCAGCCCATTTGTCCCCACCTGGTTCCCGATCCCACCTCGCCACGCACTCACACATCCCTTGTCGTCTCCCGAGCTTCCACCCCACACCCAGCTCGAGCCACCCTCCTCTCCACCCCGATCCCGACCCCCCTTTGTTAATCCTTTCCGTCCCGATCCCGATTACTCCTCCTATCTCAATCCCACCCTCGCCCCGACCACAGCTCCTTCCTCGTCTGATCCCCACCCCCTCCACGGTCCTCCCCTCTGACCCAGGCCACACGGCGAGTTAACGCCCCCAATCCGGCCTCTCTTTTACGTCTTTATCCCGAGTCCATCCTGTCCACAACCCCTATCCTATCCCACCCCCGACCCATTCCACCCGATCCCCGAGCAGATCCCACCCCGAGTAGATCCCATCCCACTCCAGACTGCATCCTTTCCCTGTCCCGAAACACCCCGCTTTACCTCGCGTCCCCGCCTCAACCGACTGCGACTAACTTCCCCCCCCAACCCATCAGGCCTTTTCCCCATCCCACCCCACCCCCCCGTCGCCCTCCTCATACACTATTGATCTCCCCCCGCCACCTCGTCTACACCTCCACTTTGTTCCAGATCCATATTCGTTCCCACCCCATTCCCACACAATCCTGTTCCCGTCCTCGTCCCCGTTCCAGTCGCGAGCTTAATCTCATTCCCACTCGTTCCCCATCCGATCCCTTTCCGATCCTATTTCAGTCCCGACCTTGTTCTCCTCACAAACTCAAATCTGTCCCAACCCAGATTTGTTCATAGCCTACTCGCAATTCGATACCACTCCTTTCCAGATCCCCCTACGCTACCTCGCACCCCCACCTCAACCAGGTTCAGTCCGCCCGACCCATCCAAGTCACCTCATATCATCTCCTCCCCCTCCCTTTTTCCACCATCCCTCCTTATTCAATCTACGGAACCACCACAACCTCGCCGATCATACCCTGAGTTTGTCCACAGCCCATTAGTCCCTATGTGGTTCTCGATCCCACCTCGCCACACACTCACACATCCCTTGTCTGCTCCCGAGCTTCCATCCCGCACCATCTCGAGTCACCCTCCTGTCCACCCCGATCCTGACCTCGTTAATTTATTCCACCCCAATCCCGAATACTCCGCCTATATCTATCCCTCCCTTGTCCCGACCACAGCTCTATCCTTGTCTGATCCCCACCCCCTCCACGGTCCTCCCCTCTGACCCAGGTCACACGGCGAATAACACGAGATTACCTCTCCACAGACCGAGCCCTCATCTCTCGCATCTTGTCCGACCAGTCACTAAACCACTACATGGTCAGCGAACAAGGATCACAAACGAAAATGGAAGGCAGGGGAAATGAAACACAGAACTGGCTAGCCGATCAAACAAGGACATCACTTACCAAAACAACCAAGGTAATTGATCAGGGAGGAAACAATCAAGAAGAGGTAGTAATATACCAATGTCCGAAGGAACTCACCGCTAAGCAGGAAGAATTGCACAAAAAGCACGTTGTTCTCTTCACATTCGCAAAGAAGAGTTAGCTGGATAGACAAGCGAAGTTGAAATGGATCTGGGAAAAACTGAAGAGCCTGGAACCGATCCAGGGAACGGACCCCAAAGTGTCCTTCCATCCAAGGTCACGAAACGTCATCATGGTGTTGTGTATGGAAGAGTCTCTGGCAACCTTCCTAAGGAACAAATGTTTCACATGCAACTCGTCGGTGGTTACAGTTCACCCCTGGAAACAGGCATTGGGATATCAACAAACACCTTTTAAATACAGACAGGACCTGTTAAAAAAGCATTTTTGGATGCAATTTGACAATGTGCCGGAAGGAATGCACGACAGCGTCAAAGAAAGGGTGAAAATGGAATATGGACACTCCAAGGAGTCACACTGGATAGTGTCTACCCCAGATTTTCTCACACCACAGCACAATCAAATGACGGTGATCTTGGACACAGGAAACAGTCCCGCCCCTTTCACCCCCGAAGAATGGTTCTTCGAGCATGAAAGCAAAATCATCAGAATCACGGTGTCCAACAAATCCAACCCTCTCTGTTTCAAATGCAGACAGAGAGGGCACCTGGCAACAGACTCAAGCTGCCCCAAGGTCAGAGAGAATGCTAAGCCCAAGCCGCTCAAAACAGCTAACCTACAGGAGGTAGCGGAAAAGAAAGGATATTGGTACATCCCGAGTGCACAATACGCAGGATGGGTCTTTAATGACAATTTGGAGACCCCAGACTGGGTCTGGATGCTGGATAGCGATCCAATAACCCGACCAGACGTCTATCCGCCGTATGACAGCAGGTGGCAAACCCTGAAAGTGGAGAAGAAATCCGCCAAATGCTTCACCAGCGATCCTACAATAAATGTGGACACATTAAAGCAGGAAATTTGGGAGAAAGATCTACGCGCGGATCTGCAGTTAATTCAAGAGGTCACTGAAAAGAAATGGGTAGAAGCAGTCCGGCGGAATCAAGAACTGGAAAGAAACAAAGAAGACCCACAGAAACAAAGGACTTACACTAGAAGAACGCAGAAGGGGCAAACCAAAACAGGGCAGAGACAAGGGGAAAACATGGCTGGGACAGAGCAGGAAGAAGGGACGACCACCCCTCCGGGTGAAGTTAGTATGGACAGCCAGTTGCCTGCAGTGGGGGGGAAGAGAAAACATCGTGAAGGGACTTGTGACAAAGATGAAACAGCAGAGGAACAAGAGTGGGATGAGCCGGCA